TGAGGAGTAATTGAGAGAATTTTTAGGGTATAAGGGGTTATTAAAAGTTAAAGAATAAAAACCCTAATATCATAAATGGGAGAGTGCGAGATAAAACCATAAAATACACAACACATGATGAGTTAGCCTAGTAACGGAAGGAACCTGCGCATTTCCCCTCCATTTTCGTCGTCAAATCGCGTTAATTACGATGGCAGCGATCACCAGCTCTATGGGTTAAGGGGAAGGTTTCCTGGGTGAGAGATGAGGGTATTTTCGGTAGGCTTTGAAAAATACATAGAGTACTGTAGGCATCTAAAATTGCCTATGAGAGCCCGCATGCAGCTCGAAACAAAGAGTAAATGAGTCAAGAAGAATTATCCAATTGGCTGCCGCGCGTACGTCAGTCAACGCACGTACGTCAGTCAACGCGCGTACGTCAATTAACACGCGCACGTCGGTAAGTTCGCGCACGTCAACCAACTCGCACACGTCAGGTAGCCAAAGTGACCGACTCGTTTGTCCGTCAGTCCCTCAACGAAGCGTACAAGTCAACGAGTCAACCAAATACGCAAAAACGGTGGAAAGTACAAGGTCCGAGGGAGTTTCGAAACACCGAAAGGCGAAAAATAGCCTGAGCCCGCGTGGGAGCGCGGGTCACCAAGAGGTGACCGGCGAGCACGCGGGTCACCAAGAGGTGACCCGTGGCCGGGCGGGTCACCAATGGGTGACCCGCGCTCACGCGGGTCACCAGAGCCCGACGCGCAGTCCAGAGTCTGAAACGCGTTTTTGACGGTTTTAAAACGGTTTTCACAGGATTTATCGGTTCCAGGGGTTCCCAACTAACTTGATATCATCCACAAATGTGGTTAGGTAGTTATTGACTAAAGATAAGGCCAAATCGCTCATTCTCATCCAAATACCCGCATCCGATGCCTATAAATATAAGCCTAAGGTCTCTATTTTACAGACCTGGGAATCAAGAGGGCAAAGTGCTATCAAATTGAAGAGTGGAGCACGAATTTCAGAAGAGTTAGCAGATCTTAGCGGAGTTCCTCACTAAAAAGAGAGTTCGAGAGATCTGAGACTTGTATTCCCCATATTCCTCCGGATTTAAGCTTAGTCTTAATCTCGAGAAGAGCCGTAATCTCGCTTGGTCGAGATTATCGCTGCTGCGATTACTTCCTTCGTGAAGTAAGAGCATTGATCATCAATCTTCTGCTATCCGGATCTGATCCGTAGGCGGTCCACGGATAAACACTGGTACCGATAACGATCCCGCACAAGCAATAAAAGTTAGAACTACTATTGTGTATAGGTTGACGAAAGTTATAATTTTTTTTGATTTAAAGTCTTATAAAAAGGCTATTTGTTTGAATTTATTGTGAACGCTTGAAGTTGTAATGGACTCATCAATGAAATCAACTTTCCACCCAAACACGCTGGCGACCACAGTGGGATATTGAAAAATACATAGAGTACATGTATAAAAGTGGGCTTTTTGGGTCTAGGCTACACTTTTTTACCTTTTTGGGGGCTAAAGAGTAAGAGAAAAAGTTGTTGTTGTCGGGCCACATAAGCTTCTTGCTTTTGGGGCATTGACACATTTTTCCAAAAAAAAACAGAAATATTGATCTTTTTATTTTTGATATGAATAGTTAAATATGTCCGTAGTATTTCCCCAAAACCAATAATCGACAGAAAAACCTACACCCAATTCAGATTTTATACATGAAAGCAAACATATTCATAAAATTCAGCTTTTCGCAGTACATTCCTCCATTTTTGAATTAATCAACAGTCCCCTCATTGCATTTGTATTCTCCTCTTCAGGAACCACCTAATTTGTTTTTTTTTCGGGTTTTTGTCAAAGTTTTTGAACCTACGTGGAATGTTATCTACCCAAAAATCAACAAAGTGATAAATCTGTTGCAATAATTCTGAGGAACGATTTTTTTTATTCTTTGGAATTATTACAACCAGGGCAAATTTGGTATCTATTTTATTTTTATTTTTCCATTTCCACTCAAGTGGGAAAACATATTTTCTACTATAACTCATTGGGAATATCCATTCTCTTAAAACATTAGAATAAATTAGAAGTGTAAAGGAACATTTAAGTTTCCAATTGCAAATAGACCCCCTGTACTACTCTCCATTGCAGATAGGCCTCCTATCCCTTGCAAATAGTTTCATCTTTCTCTGAGGATTAAAGAGTTAAAAAAAAAAACTTTCACAATGAAGGTTTAAATGAAACATTAGAACTACAGGACCATCTGAGGATAAAAGTAGAATTTATATAAAGATTATCTTTTTACTACCCCTAATATCATATGCTCAAATTTTAGCTTGAGATAACAGCTTTGTTGTTTTTGTTCTTTTCGTGTTGCTTCTTCACTTGCTTATTTTGGTTCTGTGAGCCCAAAATAAGAAAATTGTTAACTTCACAGCGCCGGAAGAATGATAATTTTATCGAACAAAATGCATATTCATATTGCATATGAAAGAAATGAATGTAAAAGGCGAAAAAAGAAACTTAAATCATTAATAAAACTCCATTTTTTTTTCAATTTGCAAAATCGACCAGCTAATAAAATAATTAAGAACAGGTTTGTACTCGTAACATTATATAAACCGAGTCATAATAAAAAAAACTAACTAAATTGAGCCAGGCTGGGCCTGTAGCATAAGGCCAGTTAAGTTTGGGCTATTATTGGAAAAGAAATTAGGCCCAATTGCTATTCCACCGTGTTTTGTTTTGTTTTTTAGAACAATTGCTATTCCACTTAAACTAATAAACAAAAAAAAAATTTAAGATCAGTTTATTTGGTCTGAAAAAACAAATAATTTTTTTGAAAATTCTTTCATTACAAAATTTAAAGTTTAAAATTTGTACACGGTTAAATAGTTTGATTAATTAATACCAATAAACAAATAATACGTCTTTAATTAGTCATAATTTGAACTAAACAAGAATTAAGGTCTCCATTTGAAAAACAGACTTTTGAGTTTTTATTTGTAGTTCATATTTCAACTGAGGGGTCTATATAACAAATAAGAGCTCTGTTTTAAATGGGGGGAAAAAAAATCAAATCCTAATCCTAAGAAATTAAAAATTGATTAAAGAAAGGGATTGCCATCTAGCAACATGCTGATGAACACATGGAATCAACTCTTGCATGTTCTGCACAAAAATTAAGAGCTAACAATCACTTCTCTTGGCCCAATAACACAAACTGATGATGATACCAATTAAAACCTTTTCAGTAAATATATGTCAGAATAAATAATCAATAACAATCTTCAGATCTTCTGAATTTAATCATAAAATCATTGGTTTTTTCCTCATACATCAAAACTTTTTAAGACCAATGCATGGTTTTGAAATATCATATCTATTAGCGTTAATTGCACACAGACCCTACGTACTATCACGTGTTTTCAACTTACCACCCCTGTATTTTCATTGTTGCAAGTAAGACCCTTGGGTTGGTTTTTTCCTGGCTCTTTTACGCCTGGTGAAATTTGTCGGATACCGACCTTATGTCAAATTAGCGAGTTTATCTGAGAGTAAAAGAGCCCCCCCAAAAAAAAAACTCTATCTGCAACAATAAAACTACAGGGGTTGTAAGTTCAAAACAATAATAGTATAGTGGGGGTCTATAAGTAATTACCCTTATCAATTGTTATCCTGCAAGATCTCTCTTCAGCCTTTGCAGAATATACAAGAAATCTCCAAAGCTCAAATGGAGCAGTTGGCAGAGTTGGGAGTGTGCTAATTAAAGCAACAAGGAGTCACTTAACAATCATGCGCCCTTTCTCTCTTTCCAGATCTTTTCCCAGGCTTTAGCCCTTACTCCACCAGCAAGGGGGGGATCATGATGACATCCATTAGCTATTATTTGTATGTGTGTGTGTTCTTCCTTTATGATGCACTTCACTACCCTCCTCATGTTCCCTAACCAAGGTAATGAGAATGTTCCCCATAATAAGATGACATGGTGCGTGCATGTTGCGTGTGAAATATTTTCCTTAGGGTTAATTAAAGATGCATCGCTTTATTATAGGGGAGGCTAAACATAATGGACGCTTCTACAGGGACCCCAAATAGGGGACCCAAGGGGGGGGGGGGCAGGTGAGGTGTCCCCTTGCGTGCATGTTGCGTGTGAAATATTTTCCTTAGGGTTAATTAAAGATGCATCGCTTTATTATAGGGGAGGCTAAACATAATGGACGCTTCTACAGGGACCCCAAATAGGGGACCGGGGGGGGGGGGGACAGGTGAAATGTCCCCTTCCGGTTGGATGATGCACTGTTCATGAATAACGCATCATCCAACCGGAGGGGGACAGCTCACCTGTCCCCCCCTTGGGTCCCCTATTTGGGGTCCCGGGGCATTAATCAAACATAATACGACACCAATGTGTTACAGACAGGTTCTTGATATTTCAGCGTGTCGCAAAAAGACCCCCTACTATGTTGTATATGTTTCACCATTCCCTGTCATAATGGGTGTAAATACTAGTAAAACCATTCAGGAGTAATAAATGACAAACCTACCGTTGGTACAGCGGGGGTGTATCGGCAATCAACCCCTTTCCATTGTTGGATACTACACTACTTGTAAGTTGAACGCTCTATTAATGACGGCGAAGCGATACTCTGATGAGAAGGAGGGATACAGTAACTTAGGTCCCAAGTCAGTATGATTGACTTGAGATTTCAGCAGCAAGCATTTGTGACAGAAGAACGAATGAAATCGGGAAAATAATCTGTCTCATCTTGCATATAATGAATCAAATCCCTGTTCACTGGATATGATCAGCTCAATGGTTAAAAAGCTATGCCGACAAACTTGACCCCTTGTGTACCAGAGGATTTGACTCGTACTCAGCATTTTCCTGCAGTATTATGAGGCCTAAACACAGTTGTTTTATCGCTAGAAGGGCCCTCCTGTGTCTTCCTAGAGAAAAACTTGAAAGAAAAAGCTAAGTGTTTAGCTCCCTTGCTTTTTCTCCTGAAGTTCAAATTCAGTTTTAAAATTTTGGGCTCCTCTCTTCCCTTCACATTGCAAGGAATCCTGCCAAAGCAAAAGCAATGCTTGCTGGAATAAAGAAAGGGCCATCACAGAAAAGAGGGGAAACAAAGAGAAAAGGACCACATTGCCATCCTATCTTCTTCTTCTCTTCACAAAAATTACACAACTCTTCATTCCAAGCCCTCTCATGTTCCTCCATTCTCTTTTCATGCAGGATCCAAAAGACCCACAACAAACAAGGCAAGCATTCATTTCATCCTCTCTCTCTCTCTCTCTCTCTCTCTCTCTCTCTCTCAATGCTTAGAATTGAATTACGTGGTCAATAGCTGCTAACTAGCATATCGATATTTGTAGGAAGCCTTGGTATCAAAGAGTAATGGAGGTTGCATACCTATGGAAGCCAACATCAAAAGGTAGTAGAATCCCCGCACAATCCAACAAGCCAAAGCTAACGAGATGTTCTTCGTTGAAAGTAGCCTCTTCATTCACCCGTGTTTGTCTCTGCGCGCCAATTTCTTCATACAATGAGGTTTTCCGAGCTGAAATACCCCCGAGAAGGAGCAACACTTATCCTAGATCAAAATCTTTCGTGATGCATCCAAACAGAGGAGCTTCAGAAGGAGCAGTGCAAGTGGCGAGAATGTCTGTGGAAGGCCGGAGGGTTTTTAGAGGGAAGTCTTTGACCGATGATTTGTTGATGAGGAGGTTTGTTGTGGAGGAGGAGGCAATGAATCAGCAACTTAAGAGGAGGAATCAAATGGAGTTTATTAGGAGGAGGAATTCTAAGAGGAGGAAGAAGCTTGGGCCTAGCCCTCTCAGTAGGATGGTGATGGCTGGTGAAGATTAATGCTTTATATTTATTAACCATATGAGTTCTTGATTTGTTTTTGCTTTTTCTGTCAATGGGATTCTGATTGCATATTGTCTCACTATTGGTCTTGGTTTTCTTCATCTCTACATGAAGTTGATGGTTAATTATATCTGTTAAAAAATATTTCGAGCTTGAAGTTTATGTAATAGTTTTAGCATCACTTAGTTCACAAACGGCACCCTAATATTTGAATTTAAGGTCAATTTAACTTAAGCCTATGAACTTTAGTGTGTGTGTGTGTTGGGGTGGGGGGTGGTGGCTTAACCTCTCTGAACTTTGAAATTCCTAACATTGCTACCAGTTAATGGTGAAATGACCGCAATGTTTTTCCCCCCAAATATAACCCAAAATAAAAAAAAGGATAGATAATTTCTAAGAAGTGTCTAACGAGTGTTTTAAATTAAAACATGTACTAGTGTGCACCCCGTGCAAAGCACGACATCTATTTTTTTTATTTCTGCTACAGTAATTCTGTATTTAAATACAGTTTATTGTAAGTGTGACGGTAACATTTTTAAATGCTATAGTATCCTGCCTGAGCTACAGTAATGTATTTAAATTAAAACATGTATTATATAACTGCGTACATGTTTGAATTAGTACATGTTTGAATTAACATATGTGTATATTCAAGGAGCGTCGGTGTCCGATACGAGTACGAACGTACAATACACGATAGAAGTGTCCAACAAGTGTTTAGTACGCGTCGGGTATGATACGCCTTCATGATAGAAGTACCCGGGTAACATAGCCGTCAACAATATTTCCTTAATCCAGCCTCAAGTCTCATCGCTCCATTTTGTGCCGTGTCTTGCAACGGGCCAAACCATCCCAATCAAATTTCTCTCATTTTATCCTTAACATGAGCAGCCTCTAACCTCATATATGAATTCACACGTCTTATTCTATCCCATAGCGTATGACCACAAGTCTATCGTTAGATTCTCGTTTATGCTACGCTCATTTTTCAACACAAACTCATTCATATAGTAACTAAGCAATGAACTCAAAGACTAGTGCTTAATTAATATCTAGCCATGCGCTTATTACAGCACATCATTTAACCAAAACTTAAAAAACTAAATTTAAATGGGCTTCTCAACATGAAGAATGCAGTTGCCAGTTATGCAAGTATGAACAATAGGTTGAAAGTTGGAATAAGATACCTTGAACAACCATGCATGAAATGAGTAGCCAACTCAGAATAATTCACACAATAAATTTTCAAGTCCCATAAAATGTCAGCAGAGAATTAGATGGTTCATTGAATAGATAAGCAATGAATGACACTAATGGAGGATTATTATGAAATTAAAATGCCGAATAGTTCTTCAGTCACAATGATGTACCCTAACCAAGAATTTAGAGAAGAAATTCAATAGAATCGCTTCATCATACACTATGAGAGCCAAGAATCAATTGGTATAGAATTCTCTATGCAAACAAATCATCTATGCAAGGGCCAACAGACATGCGCTCATCGTTCCTTACCTCCACATCTTGCCTCAGCATACTGAATATCTCGAACCCCAAGCAACTGACACGACGACAACCGTGCATATAAAGCAACCGAAGCTGGGAACAACCGTCCCTCAGAGACTGCAACCCTCTGTCACAAAAATTCCTGCATCGGTTCACATGCAAAACCTTCAAACTTTTACAATCCGATCCGATTGCTGCCCAGCCAGTTGTTCGAACCTCATGACACACAGCGAGACTCCACTCCTCAAGCAACGGGCAGCCCTTGGCAATGGCCACGACAGAATCATCAGAAACAAATCGGCACATCCTGAGGTTCAGAAACCGAAGACTCGTAGCAAATCCATCCCCAATAGCACCCAAACCATCAACACCGTTCCAATACCTTAGGTTAGAGAGGTTCAAGTATTCGAGACCACCTCCACGGACAACCCCTGAGAGTCCCTCAGGGGATAGCACACAAGAATCAGCTTCCAAATATGACAAGGTCGGCGAGCATCCTCTAAAGCCAGTACCCGTTATGCTTCTGCAGTATGAGATCATCACAGCATGAAGCTTATTGCATTCTCTTGAAAGTATGCTAATCCCATGGTCGGTGATCAATGTGCAATAAGAAAGGTTCAAATTCTCTAAAGAATGGCACGAAGTAGCGAGGCTTTCTAATCCCGGATCAGTGATATTACAGCGATACAGAGTTACCGAGACCAAATTAGGGCACCCTGCAGATACTAAACTGAGACCATTGTCGGTGATACCAAAACAGCAGTATAGAGCAAGCGACCGGAGCTTAGATCCGCAGTCCCTAATTCGGATCAGTTCTGAATCAGGCAATTCGGTGCAGCCAGCTACTGAAATAGAGCTAAGATTTGGAAAACGTGTCAATAACCTCGGTAGATAACTAGCATAGAGTCTGTAAACTTTTGGGTTGTCAGAGAAGTGGAAGATTAATGATTTAACGGCCAAATTCTGAACCTGAAGCCAATGGCGACATGTCAGGCCAAAAGAATTCCGATCCCTGCTACCCTGAATTTTCTCATAGATGTTAAGCAGGCAATCATTAGACAAGTTGATGTCTGAAGTGCTACCTAAATTTGGATCCATTAATAAAGGAGAGAGGATCAGGGCTCAGAAGGCTGAAGAGCGCGGAGCTTTATCATGTATTTTTGGCAGACAGAGGAAGAGCTTGAAGGGTCAAATCCACACAGGACAGCTGATGCACCATATCCATAACCAATAACAGATTCACATTGGCGGCAGAGGAGCTTTGTTTTTGGACGATAACCCCAGATTGGGAAACAATTTATCTCATCAACCTGAGTGAAGCGGCTGAGATCAATAGAAAGAAAGCAGATAATACCCTTCTTGATTGATTTTTGGTACTCGGATCCAATGTTGGATGTGCGGTTAGAAGATGTCAAATTTAAAGGATATCCACATGAGCCACAACTGCATACAAAGAGAAAAATAAGGAGGTTTGCCCATTGATGGTTATATAATGATAATTAAATTGACACTGAAACAATAATGCAAGAGTACTCTTGAATTATCATGGATGGATGACTTGTCACCAAATCTGCTCCCAAACGACCACTGTACTTTAATATAATCCAAATGAAACAAGAATAAAACCAATGAACTTAATCTGAATCAAACAAGATATTCATGTCAAGATAATAATTCCTTTAGTGATCCCATGAAAATCATTCTTTCTAAGTCAAATGTTCATCCACCATGCTCGTCACCTTTAAGCCCTAATCCCTTAAGGGGCAGTCTATAGAACAAGCAGTTGTTTGTCGATCCTTGAAATAGGTACCTGAGTACTTGGATAAGGAAATTATAGACAAACAAGAGGCTATCAATAAATCTTAATAGAATAGTTGGCTGGTAGGTAAACCCACATCCATTTGTCCCTACTTCATCTTCTCACGAAAACATGTTGACCAGGCTACTTTTTATCTCTCACTCACACACGCATACACACCCGCATGGGGGCGCGCGAGCACGCAGGCACACATGCGCGCGCGCACACACACAATGTATAGGGTAAAGGGGACTGGTGTGCCGCTCTATCTATTTAGCTAGAGTGTGAGTAGTGTTGGGTAGGTCCAGCAACTCATTTGAAATCTAATGGTGAAGAATGACAGTATCTGCATTTTTGCACAAAAAATCCCAAAGGTCACACCCTTTTCTTTCTTTTCCTTCTCTTTCTAATTCTGTCATCTTCTCCCCCATTCCCTCTCACGTCTCTATATTCCAGTGTATGTGTTGCCTGCTAACTAAAACTTAACTGTATTTTAAACTAAAGTTAAATTTACAATTTTAATTGCATGATACAAGCAACTCATGATATATTCAGATTCTATTAGAACCTTTTTTATTGGAATTCTCATAGCAGTTTCATTCAGCATCAAAATTAAAATCATCCCTTTTTCGTATTTGGGTCTAGCTTTCATTAGACCAACAAATGATAGACTAGAAATGGCAATGGGTGCTGTAGAGAGAGAAGAAGATGACAATTATTGTTCGATTTTTCTGGTTAGGAGGCAATACGAGTGGGGGAAAATGAGGACCAGCGTTGTTGACCTTCCGATCTAAAGGAGAAATGTGATAGAAAGAAAAACAAGATGCAGTCGTCAGTTGGATTTTCGAGTGAAGGTGGTCGCCGGGGAAGGAGATGAAGAGAAGACAGCCGCCAGGCTTTGTGCGAATGGATTCAATAGAAGAAGAAGACAACAAAGAATATCTGAATGAGGAAAGGGGTAATAGGGTTTTGATTGGGAAGCTTTAAAGGTGTAACAGTAATTATCTTTATGCTATTAAACAAAAGGATTTTGGGTGGGAAGCTTTAGAGGTGTAACAGTAATTATCTTTATGCTATTAAACAAATTGCAAGGGCTGTGTTTTAAAGTTTCAGTCACATTCCTTGAAACTCAGGTCTTTAGTAAATGGTTGGATTTATGCAACATCACCAACACACTAACTAAATATCTAGAATGAAACACTAGCCCCAAAAAAAATAAAAAAAACCACTCATTTGAATGTTACCCACTTGAAAATAGTCTCTTTTGAAAATGAGTGGATAATAATGAGTCACCTCACTACAAAGGGCCAAAATTGATCCTTGGTATCAAGGTTACCTATAGTCCTCATATATATACATACATTCTCAGAAGCTGGATTAACTTAATTCTTTTATAAGAGATATAAGAAAATCAAAAGATTATCTTCTCTCTTTCTTTTCACTTTTTCCTTCTTTTTGAGCTTCAGGACTAACAAAGAAACCACCTACAAAAGAAATAATAGTTAAGAAACTATAAGTAGATCAAATTTGTGTTTATAACCAATTTAGGCAATAACTAATTATTTCAAGATCAATTTTCTTTTGATGGATTTTCTAACATGAATAATCACTCAATAGATATAACATACAAGCATACATTGAGAAGAACATATATAGTCATGTCCCTGTATCCAGCTTCTAAAGTGGCAATGTGTATGTCTCAAAATGGGATATTTAGGTCTGTGTCTATATATCATAGTAAATAACCAAGCATTGTAAACTGGAAAAGCAATTTTATGATTCTCAACTCCATCAATTTCTACAACTATAATGAATCAAACTCAACATAGGTTTTCAGTGATAAGAGAACAACTATCTTGAGGTCCTTGACAAGAGGCTTTTGATGTAAGAACCAAGTCAGTTTTAGGAAAGGAAAAATTAACTGAACCTTATATATAAAATCAGGGGAAAAAATAGAAACCACAAGCACCCACTGCAGCCAAATGCAGGACAACTTAAATACTATTAAGGTTCAGAATAACACAGGGAAAAATTAGCGAATTTTTTTAATGGGATGATTTATAACGAGCCAGGCTTCGCCTACAGAAAACAAAATAACATCTACTTACTATAGTTTCAAAACTTGAGCTGATGCTAAAAGTGAATGAATTCTTTGGAATGAAAAGTTTGGATTATCAGTGTAATAACTGGATTGAAGAAGGAAAAAAAATGGGGCCATGATTATATCAACTTATGTACAAATGAACCTCAAACTAATAAAAGTTTTCATTTCTGTTTCTCTGTTTTTACTCAATACCTAGATGTAAGCTTGATTCCAACCATCCAGACTGGCATGAGTTCTTTGTTTAATAAGGCTAAAAATAACTAGATGCTAAGATCACCTCAAATGAATAGATGGAACGAAACAAACAATGATAGTATCAGATCAAATTTGAGACAGAAGTTTACGGGCATATTCTGACACCGAACGGCGAAACCAGACAGCATCCTCATATTTTTACTCAGAAACTTTTACATTTGAACAAAAAAAGATATTCTATTAGACATGAGACTCAAATCTTCTTCCAATGTCTAAAATCCAGTAAAATGCACAAATATTCCCAAAAAAGATGATGACTTAAATTATAGCTCTGAACACCTTTGCGAAATAGAGTAACTTCTAGTTGAAATTCAACATTCATAATCAAATGAACCTATTGCGTTCATTTGTCCCTAAATGAAATTTAAAATCTAAATTAATATTTGAGCATTTTTAATACTTCTAAACATTTACTACAGTCAAACAGCTAGCTGCTCTTACTCAAATTAGTCCCAACGAATCCAGCATCTGTTAGAGCTTCAAGCAAATCGCTAAATTTTATATTCCATGTAACTGATTAAAAAAAAACAAACGGAGATTTGAAGATCAAGGGTCAATTAATCAAGCCCTACTTTCCAGTTAGAAGCCCCCAATACTCCAAATCTAAGTATTAATAAACAAACCCACATCTAATTCACAGCTAAAACCAAACAAAATCGAAGCGTCATCAAATTATTTCACAAATTGAAGGCACAAATTAGAGCAAAACCCTCGAAGTTTCGGGGGGGCAAATGAAGATCTATACCTGTAGACGACGTCAGGCTGGGACATCCTCAACGATCAAAATCGAATTTTGACGAGAAATTCTCATCGAACGAACAGAAATTTTTTATCAGAAGTAAAAGTGGGGGAAATTAAAATTAAAAAAAAGGAAAAAGAATAAAAGACAATTGAAGAAGTTGCACGGACGACGACTCTTCTCGCTATTTATATATTTTTTTTCATTAAATGTCATGGGATTTGGCCCCGTTAATAGGATTAATCCTGGTCGTTGGTTTGACTGATCATGATTGGCCGGTCAGATTCGATTAGTTGCTTGGTTTCAGTTAATGCAGTTGTTTGTACATCGCAAAATGGGGTTGAAAAGAATTTAAAGGGAACGTTAATTTTATTTTGCACTTTGCAACTTTGCAATTGAAAATGACTAGTTTTGTTTTCATTTTTGGGCCAAGCCTAGGAGGCAGTGGGATAAGAAGAGGCAATTTTGGCAAATGAAGAATTAAATGGTAAAAGGTCAAAGCCTAACCAGGGAGCCAAAGCTCAATTCTTATGACAAATAGCTCCAATTGCTCTTTTATATTATGAATTTGGATCCTCTGTGGGGCTTCTAATGTTAAAAAAAAAATTAATTTCTTGATAATATTTTGCAAGTTCTAATTTTTTAGTAGGCTTATTTGTATCACAACCCTCAAAACTGTTTGTATTCTGAAAAAAATAGCATCAAGTCATTTAAATAGTACCAATGCACATTAATGACTTCAAGCAGTACTAATACATATTTTTTTAAACGGTTTTTCTATAGAGTGCCCATGGGCACTCTATAAGAGGAGAGAGATGGAGAGAAATGAATAGCTCATAGGCCATCCTGATTTGCATTAATTTCTGTGTATAATCATTTCTCTTTATCTCTCTCATCTGTTATAGAGTGCCCATGGGCATTCTATAGAAAAATCATTTTTTAAATAGTACCAATGCACATTAATGACCAAACATCTGCTTCCTCTAGTTATAGTAACTTTGTTGACATGATTACAGAGGTAAAAGATGAAGGAAGGTGCTACAGGCACATCCTCGGGCACACCTCCGGCCACCCCCCTCTAGCTACCGTGCAAGGGGCCCCATTTGAGATTTTTTAAAAAATCTCAAGTGAGGCCCACTGCACTGTAGCTAAAAAAATCTCAAGTGGGACCCCTTGCACTGTAGCTAGAGGGAGGGTGTGCCCAAGGGTGTGCCTATATCATTTTTCAGAGATGAAGCACCAATAAAGATACTAATCTCCAAAATTACTATGCATTGCAGAAAATATTGGCAAAAACAATCAGATCTCCCACAAAAACTGCATATAAATTTAAACTTCAGAACTTGCCCATACTCTTCTGCACTGAAATGAGATCGCCACAACACATAATATCGCCAATTCCTCCACTGAATAGACTCAACAAATGCATCACCGCCCCCTATTTAGTACTGTGAAAAATATTTCACATCTCCCAAAGAAATCCATAAAAACTTAAGTCTCTTAAACCTTAGTAATGCAAGACTACACAATAGTTTTCATCACACCATTATATATGCAAAGTATTTGGCATCTCTATTTTCATTATTGAAATCTTCAAAGCGGCGAATAGAGCAGACTAAGCCTCCATCATTTAAGAATTCAGCTGGCGTTAGGAATCAGCTGAGTTTGATGTTCCAGACTTTGTTTTATCGTTGTTCATGGCTTCAAACTTATCAATGGCAACCTGGAGCTCATCTGTGCCTCCAACAGCTCTCATGGTATAATAGTACACACCGAGAACAAAAGCCGATAAGCCACCTGCGACGACCAGGTTCTTGGTCTTTGGAGCAAGGTTGCCGAATCCCATGAATGAAGACATCTTACGGTTAGGACAATTAATTCCTAAAAGCGAAGGAAAATTATCAATCACATAGTGAAAATTATTAGCACATACAGCTCATTATGATGCGATCGAAGAGCTTTTCAAGCAGATGAAGCAAATGAAGCCCATTTTCAGTTATAAAACGCATGTAAAGCAATCACATGCTCCTGTAATGACTCCAAGTCAACTGTAAAATGCATGTAAAACAATCACATGTTCGAAAAAAAGTAACAGCAGGGAACTGAAATATCAAAAGAGGATAAATGAAGAAAGTATTTGCACATTGCATTTGGTAGGGGCCATCAGAACGCAAGCAAAATGTCTTAATAAAGAAGAAATGCTACTTTTTATCCCCTTAATGAAGAAGAAAACTACTACTACACTTGTTAAAGATATGTAACCTGAGTCATCTTAGGGAGCTCATAAATGTCCTTTCCACTACAAGCACGAACACAAATACAGCAAGAAACTACAACAATCACTACTCACCACAACATGAGGCTTGCATTTCATAAAAATAAGGGAGGCCCTTACAGGGGCTTTGACCTGTGCAAATCGCTTTCTCTATAAAAACGATTCTATACAAGATCAAGATCATGATAACAAGTGGCATAATGGCCATTTTTAAAGCTATTAAAGTTTGATAACTTGATAGTACAATTTTCATATATTGATAAAAATTGATGATTCTTCGGCAAGTCTTCCCAACAAATGCAATTCCTAAAGTGTTGAATGTTATTTTGTGCTTAACCATTGAAATGACTAATGAAAATAGATTTAATACAATAACTCAACAAATGAGCTACATATGTTACTCGCGATATGAAAAAATGAAGTTGGACAGCCTACATCTACTTAAGAGTCAGTTGGAGGAGGAGGCTTGTAGAAATGATTATACATCCTCCACCAATTTTTAGAGGCTTCTTCTACAGTTCGATATGTCCAGATGTGCGGCTTGGATCTCTCTCGCTCTTCAAGAATTTCCTGAATTTCAGATGCCCTTTTTGTTTTGAGACTCAAACAATCACCGAGAGCGCTCCATTTCCCAAAGCAGGTGTCAAATTCCCCGTATCTGTAGTATTGTTGCATCTGGTGAAATGGGGAATAGCAAAACCACAAAGCATCGAAGCATTTGGTGCAGGATAGATGAGGAGACTGTTTTTTCTGGTTAGCATTAGATGGCTCACTTTCCTTTTGATCCATTCCTAGAAAAGAAAAAAGATCCTCTCTTCAGATTCAGTTTTCTTCAAATCTGTCAAATGTTAATTTCCCCCCCTATATTCCCAATTATTGAAAACAATGTAACTGCTTATTGGTGCCTTGACTTATTTCATCATGGATCCCTTTTCAACAAATTTTTTTGCATATCTGTTACATTTTTATATCGCTACATTTTTATGCTTTCCTTATTGTTGTTGCGTTTACTCACACAAAACTGTGAAAGCGTGTTTGTTTTTTGGATTGTTGTGTCACCAAATTCTTCTTCTATAGAATCAGCAATTTGGGGTAATATGAGACAGCTAAGTCAAACAAATGCAGACTCATAATTATTACTGGTAAAAAGATGAAGGGTTACAATAATTAACAAGTATTCTGCAACTTATAATTATTATGTGGCGTCTGCTCTTCATATAAAATGTCATAATTTTACAAATAAACATTAATTTATCATGAAAGACTTAGTTTCATAGTTCTGCATTAGGGAAAATATTCACTAGGATTGTGAACTTGAAGATTTTGTTAACCAGACATCAAAATTATGTGAGATTTGTTTTCATAGTTCTGTGTAAGTAATTCCGCCGGTTCTGTTATAAAGAGCTAAGACATACCTTGTGAGATCTTCAACTCAATTCATACTTATCAAATTCTTTGCAAAATTTCATGAAAATCTCATACTAGATCTCGCATTTCTACTGGACAAAGGGAATATGACACAAGGTTTTTAAGCTGTTAGAACAGCTATAATCAGAGCAGCAAAGATATCAGCTTTAGTACTTCATTTCTACACAAGTTTGGAGTTATATTTGATATACATTGTACATTAGACTGATTAATGATGTTTTATACTTTTCATGTAATAGAAATAGAGGGATGTACCATGCATACATTTGTTTTTGAGGAAAATTGCTTGGAGCAAGCAATTTGTAAAAAATTCTGCACCCCCCATCCCCAACTAGAGTCAACCCCTTGTAAGCCTCTTTGACCCAAGTTTCCATGCTAAAACACCCCTAGCTCATACTGTATTTTTAAGTATTGCTCACTTTACCCTTTTGTACCCATTTGTGGAGTGTCTAAAATATTTTATCTTATTGGGCAGCCCTCATTCCATTATACAGAAGTGACATCCGATTGGGGAGAATGTCATTAATGGCTGGGAGAGTTTTTTGGAGGGAAAGGAAAAATTGGAGGGGAACATACTAAGTTTCCTCCAAATAATGCCCCATCTCGATGTAATATCTTCTTTCCTCTTTAGATTCTACTCATAAAACCTTCAACAACCTTCAAAAACCAAAATATTCTTAACTTTTTCCTCTTAACTTCTTCAACAACCAAAATGGAAGAATCTTTAATGTGTGTGATTTCGTTTAACACAAATGTAACCCTCATTAAAGTCAATTCTGCAACAAATTTAGTTGAATTGAAGATGCAAGCTGCAAAGAATTTAAGAGTAATGTACGAAAGTTTGTTGATAAGTTACTCTCTCGAGAAGTTTCTCAATGTCTCGTTTGAGCTTTCAAAAGATGAAGATATTCTTAACATGATAGATTATCATCGTTTAATAGGATTAAATACGATAGTCATGACTGCTACTAAAAGAGATGAAGCATCCACACATGCTATAAGGACAGAAACAGAGCTTAAGTAAGTATTCAAAAGATTATTTTCACGTTTTGGATACACGTTATAATGGAAACTGTGATATTTACTTCTTATATGTGACCTGAAGACATTTCACGTAACATATAGACTTTATTTGTGACATATACTAGTTAACAGTTATTTGTAATTATCATACGTGACTTATATGTATGTTATATTCAACTTGCAGTCTTCCTAATGCAAGCTCACAGTCATCGGAGCATATCGAGGAATCTTATGAGAGGATCCCAATCGAGGAATCTTATGAGAGGATCCCAAACGACAATCCTCAAGGAGAGCAAGTGTGGATGATGAACGACGTAGTAAGTGACTCGTCACGAATACAACAGTCGATTGCCTCCTTTCCTCTTTTTTAACTCTTTTCTTTCTTAAAGAGTTTTCAGAGTCAACTTCCTCCTCTCTTTTTACCTTCATCTTTTTAGGCTCTTGCTTAATCTCCTCATTGACATAATGCGGCATATCTTGCTCCGGTAAGATGTGGCTCACGACTTCTGATTTCTTCATAATCGTTGCAGTCTGCAACAAACCCACTTTTTTACCTTCCAATGTCCAGTTTGTCATTGGTGACTTGGAATCATTGACTTTAGCTGGCTCCTTGACGTTTGTTATCTCATAGTACCATAGCTTAAAAAAACAACATTCAATCAATGAAGTATCACAAGTTAGATACAAATGTCACATGTAAAAGACAGAGGTCAGAAGTTAGATACAAATGTTACATGTTAACTATAAATATCACGATTAAACAATATATATCAGGGACAAATGTTACATATGGGGCACAAACGTCACATGAGTATCATATAACACATGTAAAACACAATAATCACATATAAGGGGAAAATATCACATATTAACTATAAATATCACAATTAAACAATGCATAGCAGGGACAAATATCACATAATGGGGCACAAACATCACATATTAGTGTGATATATCACATGTAAATGACAATGATTATAGATAAGGTGCAAATGTAACATATTAATTACAACTAACATAGATAACTCGTTCGTCGATAGCAAGGGACCGCAGCCGCTAAGATATGTGTGCCCCTTTTTAGCTATCTTGACAGCTTTGAAAGAGTCTCACAATTCATTGTAGAAGATCGTCGTCCATGGAAAATGATCAACCACATCTATCCAAGTTATATACTTGAACATATGTCGCGGTGCATTTATTCTAGCGGTTGGAGTTCATATCATTGTGAGTTGATAAAGGATTTGAAGCATAGCAAAATCAGAAACATCCGATTTCTTTTTCGACCGAACTAGTTTATCCAACAATGCCTCAAGGTAATCTCTGCCACTCTTATAGTTTTCTTGTTGCTGAAGTATGTACTCCATATCCTATTCGCGGTATCGCGATTCCCTTCCGGTTTCTCCCCTTCATCCTTGAACCGGGTATGTTTTTTCACCCAATTTACATCAAATGTGTAGGCTTGTCTTGTCCCCGTTTGCCTATCATTGAAAAAAACTTTCCAGTAGCCAAATCTAGATGATCTAGCAGTAGCATGATCGTGGCTTTCTCGGATGGAATTGCTCCAAAATTAATATAATTTTGGATATTGGAGGATCCATAAGTCTTCCAATGTTCGGTCCTCATTCGTGGAACAATTTCATCCATGAATTCACAATATCCACGAATATTACAACATATTCTGATATCACCCTTACCGTAAAACACAACACAACCGAAACTAAATCTACTTAGAGTTCTACTGTGGACAAATTCACAATGACAAACAAAATAAATGATCAAATGTGGGTAATTCAGTTTATACTAACTCAGCATTTGTTGTTTTGCTGATTCAGATGATGAATTCGACATCCTGTATTTTTAGCAAACTGAGGGTTTGGTGAAGAAGAGGGACTTGTTGAAGCCAGCGGACGACGAGCTTGTGGTCGGCGGGGTCCTTGTCGACGGACGACGAGCTTGCGGACAAGCGAATGACAAGCGGAGGAGCGAATACCAAGATTGGAGCGTCAACGAAGACGATTCGAAGTGAAGTTGTAGGGGTTCTCATTGAGAGCGGTGGAGCGAGATCTTGAGAGGAAGAGGGTTTGAAAATTGGTCGCAGAAGAGGGTTTCGAAAATCGCGCTCAGAATGGGGATTTTCGAAGCAATTTTTTTCATTTTTAAATGGGAAGGGTAATTTCGGAATAGCTTTATTAGATAGTGGGTTTGTACAGTGTTTGGGGGTTAGTTGCACTCATGTTTCGGTACACAAGGGCTGGGGAAGAAGATGCATAGCTTAAGTTTTTGGAGTTCCTCCAATCAATTTTCCCTTTATTTAAATAAGAACTTATCACGTTAAAAGTACTATCAAGCTGGTATCAAAATTATAGCATAACTGGGAAGTTAGATTACACTTCCAATAATAAGGTTCATATATCATAATATTCAAAAAGATATATATACATAAAAAAAGATTAACAATTCAACAAGTGAGGCATATCTGCAGTTGACAAATCAAACGAATATGAAACTAAGTCTTTCATGATAGACACAACAAAAACAAGGGAAAATTGCTTGGAGGAACTCCAAAAACTTAAGCTATGTGTCCTCCCCAGCCAAAAAACCAATGCACCCCAGCCCTTATACCGAAACATGAGTGCAACTAACCAACAAAGACTGTACAAATCCATTACCCAATAAAGGTATTCCTAAATTACTCTTCCAATTTAAAAACGAAAAAAAACTGCTCCGAAAACCCCCCTTCTGAGCGTGATTTTCGAAACCCTCTGCAACCAATTTTCGAAACCCTTACCCTCAAGATCTCGCTCCTCCACCGCCGCCGACGAGAACCCCTACAGCTTCACTTCGAATCGTCTTCGTCGACACTCCAATCTTGGTATTCGCTCGTCCGCTCGTCGTCTGCTCGTCCGCAAGCTCGTCGCCCGCCGACAAGGACCCCGTCGACCGCAAGCTCGTCGTCCACTGGCTCCGACAAGTCCCTCTTCTTCACCAAACCCTCAGTTTGCTAAAAATACAAGATGGTGAATTCATCAACTGCATCTTCTGAGTCATCTAAATCACAACAAACGTTGAGTTGTAAGTATAAACTGAATTATCCACATTTAGTCATTTATTTTGTTTGACATTGTGAATTTATCCACAATAGAACCCTAAGTAGATTTAGTTTTTGTTGTGGTGTGTTTTACAGTAAGGGTGATATCAGAATATGTTGTAATATTCGTGGATATTGTGAATTCGTGAATGAAATTGTTCCACGAATGAGGGCCGAACATTGGAAGGCTTATGGATTCTCCAACTTTCAAAACCATATTAGTTTTGGAGCAATTCTATCCGACAAAGTCACGATCATGCTACTATTATCATCTAAATTTAGCTACTAGAAAGTTTTTTTCAGGATAGGCAAACGGGGACAAGACAAGCCTACATATTTGATGTAAATTGGGTGCAAAAACATACCCGGTTCAAAGATGAAGGGGAGAAACCGGAAGGGAATCGCGATACCGCGAATAGGATATGGAGTACATGCTTCAGCAACCAGAAAAATACAAGAGTGGCAGAGATTACCTTGAGGCCTTATTGGATAAACTGGTTCGGGCAAAAAAGAAATCAGATGTTTCTAATTTTGTTATGCTACAAATCCTTTATCAACCCACAATGATATGGACTCCAACCGCTAGAATGAATGTACCGCAACATATGTTCAAGTATATAACTTGGATAGATGTGGTTGATCATTTCTCATGGGCGACGATCATCTACAATGAATTGTGACTCTTTCAAAGCTACCAAGATAGCTAAAAAGGGGCACACATATCTTAGCGGTTGCGTTCTCTTGTTATCGGCGAGTTATTTGTGTTATTTGTAATTAATATGTTACATTTGCACCTTATCTATAATCATTGTCATTTACATGTGATATATCACACTAATATGTGATGTTTGTGTCCCATATGTGATATTTGTCTCTGCTATGCATTGTTTAATTATGATATTTGTAGTTAATATGTGATAGTTTCCCCTTATATGTGATTATTGTGTTTTACATGTGATATATGATACTCATATGTGACGTTTGTGCCTCATACATGACATTTGTCCCTGATATGTATTGTTTAATTGTAATATTTATAGTTAACATGTGACATTTGTATCTAACTTCTGACCTCTGTCTTTTACATGTGATATTTGTATCTAACTTGTGATACTTCATTGATTGTTTTTTTTTTTTTTTTGAAGCTATGGTACTATGAGATAACATACATCAAGGAGCCAGCCAGAGTCAATGATTTCAAGCCATTAATGATAAACTGGACATTAAAGGTAAGAAAATGGATTTGCTGCAGACTGTAACGATTATGAAGAAATCAAAAGCCGTAATCCACATATTACCGGAGCAAGATATGTCACGTTATGTCCATGAGGAGATCAAACAAGAGCCTCAAAAGATGAAGACAAAATGAGAGGAAGTTGATTCTGAAAACTCATTAAGAAAGAAAAGAGTTAAAAAAGAAGAAAGGAGGCAATCGACTGTTGCATTGGTGACGAGTCACTTGCTACGTCGTTCATCATCCACACTTGCTCTCCTTTAGGATTGTCGTTTAGAATCCTCTCTGATTCCTCGATTGGGATCCTCTCATATGGTTCCTCGATATGCTCTGATGACTGTGAGCTTACATTAGGAAGACTGCAAGTTGAATATAACATACATATAAGTCACGTATGATAATTATAAATAGCTTTTAACTAGTATATGTCACAAATAAAATCGATATGTCATGTAAAATGTCTTCAGGTCACATATAAGAAGTAAATATCACAGTTTTCATTATAACGTGTATCCAAAACGTGAAAATAATCTTTTGAAAATACTTACTTAAGTTCTGTTTCTGTCCCTATAGCATGCGTGGATGCTTCATCTCTTTTAGTAACAGTCATGATTATCGTATTTAATTCCATTAAACGATGATAATCTATCATGTTAAGAATATCTTCATCTTTTGAAAGCTCAAACGAGACATTCAGAAATTTCTCGAGAGAGTAACTTATCAACAACCTTTCGTACAGTACTCTTAAATTCTTTGCAGCTTGCATCTTCAATTCAACTAAACTTGTTGCAGAATTGACTTTAATGAGGGTTGCATTTGTGTTAAACGAAGTCACACACATTAAAGATTCTTCCATTTTGGTTGTTAAAAAAGTTAAGAGGAAAAAGTTAAGAATATTTGGGTTTTTGAAGGTTGTTGAAGGTCTTATGAGTAGAATCTAAAGAGGAAAGAAGATATTACATCGAGATGGGACATTATTTGGAGGAAACTTAGTATGTTCCCCTCCAATTTTTCCTTTCCCTCCAAAAAAACTCTCTCAGCCATTAATGTCATTCTCCCCAATTCTCTTGAACCCAATCGGATGTCGCTTCTCACTATATAATGGAATGAGGGCTGACCAATAAGACAAAATAGTTTAGACACTCCACAAATGGGTACAAAAGGGTAAAGTGGGTAATACTTAAAAACCAATAAGACAAAATAGTTTAGACACTCCACAAATGGGTACAAAAGGGTAAAGTGGGTAATACTTAAAAATACAGTATAAAGTACATATACAATACTCCACAAATGGGTACAAAAGGGTAAAGTGGGTAATACTTAAAAATACAGTATAAAGTACATATACAATGTTGGGCTAAGGGTGTTTTAGTATGAAAACTTGGGTCAAAGAACTAACAAGGGGTTGACTCTAGTTGGGGGTGGGGGTGCATAACCTTTCACAAATTGCTTGCTCCAAGCAATTTTCCCTTAAATAAATGATGGGGGAAAATGAGGAATCTATTTAATCTTGTCTTTGATCGGCAAATCTAGTTCTGAAATTAAATTCTAATAGTTTCCGAAGAAATGATTTGAGAATTAGAAATCTAAAAATTCTAAAATTCCCCAAACAACGAATTTGGAACTGAGAACTCTAGAATTGAAAATTTTAACGATTCCCAAACAACGTATGCTTAGAACTTAAACTCGGAATTTCAAATTCTGGAATTGCATTCTAGAATTTAAAATCAATCCCTTGCGTCCAAACGCAAACCTTAATGAAATATAAGCACACTAAAATGTGAATGGCACATGTTTAATCATATTCTTTCAATTACAGTCCCTTCAAAAAACTATTTTCCGTTTCTTTATTGTGGCCAGGTTCATCAAAATTGCAAGGTAAAAAAGAAGAAGATCTGTTAAATTACTAACTTTGCATCCAAGATTTAATCAACAGTACATCGCAGCAACCTATCTCAAATTAACAAAAATTCCGTAAATTTCAAAAAAAGTGCAAAAATATGAAATAAACGTAGTACCTTGCTCCTTCTGTTTCGGGGAAGTTTGAAGGAGCGTCAAGGAGCGTCAAGAGATCTGGTTGCAGAGAGATTTGGGAGGCGACGGGGAAACAAGAGAATTAGGTCTAGGGCTTTTTTTCCCCTTTGTTTAGTGGGCTTTGGTTGCGGGTCGGGTTAAAAAATGGGTTTTTTAAACCCGAACCAATAGCTAATGCTTCGTTTGGATACCATTGTGTTTTTGTAAAAAACATCATGATGTTATATTTTTTTCCTTAAAATTTTTTTAAACCATCATGTTAAGAATTTTTGGTCAACACTAGTTTGACGCATTATAACATTAATATTAAACATATTATTAATATATTATATATTAATTATAATAAAATACATTGTAAATAAAATGTTATAATATTTAGTTTACATTATTATAGTATTATAAATATTAAAAATAATACAATATAATATTATATAATGTATTACAATATTATATCGTATTTTAATGAGTTATATTATATTATAATTATTACATATTATTTTTAAATAATTATATATTAAGTTATTTGGCTAATCAATTTGTTATCTGTTGTTTATATTTATATTAATATTTTAGTGACTAATATTATTATTTTATTAAGTTATAATATCTATACTATTTTAATAATATATATATTAATAATGTTAATATTATGTATACTAGTATGTTATTAATAAATGTTAATAATTATTATAAATATTTTTAATATTTATATAATGATATTATAGTTTTAATATGTTAGAGTTTATTAATAGTATATTAATAATTTATTAATATTTTATGATATTAATAAATAATTATATATTATGAATATATATATTTTTACGATTAACATTTCGTTAGCAATAATATTTTACTTTATAATAATCTATTTTAACTTATTACATAATATATTAATATTTTTTTATATTATATTACATTTACTATATAATATTTTATTATAATATTATTATTATTGTTATGTTATTATTAAATATGTTACTATTATATAATATTTTAAAATTATGAATTTATTACAATTTATGTTTAAAAAGTTAGTAATATTATAGCGATTATACTATTGTATAGTATATTATTATATTATTATCAATAACTTTTTTTATTATTATTTATTAGTTTATTTATATTTTATTTATATTTATTTATTATATAGTACATTATTAACATATTTAATATTGGTATTTAATATGTTATTATATTATTATATAAGATATTTTATTTATTATATTTTTTATATTATTTAATAAATATTACTAATATATTAAATTAACTATAATATAGTATAGTATAGTATAATATAATAAGCATGTTGATAATAACTCTATATTAATTGCATTTAGTATATTATGTTAGATATTATATTAATACCTTCTCAAACTCAAAATCAAAACACCAAACTTAAAACACCTAAAATGTGTTTTAAAATAAGTATTGTGTTTTTCATTTGAGAATGATTTAGCTCAAAAACACCATGGTTTCCAAATACATGGTGTTTTGTTTTTTGTAAAAACACCATGGAAATAAGTAAAACACTATGGTATCCAAACGGAGCCTTCTTCCTCTCCTTCCCGACTTTCATATATTCAAACAAAATTTCATTCAAGAATAACGCAAAATCAACGCAAAATAAAAATGTAGTTAATGACTGGATTAATTACCTCTAGAATTATTAGATCACCCCTGCCATGTCCTCCGTCATTGAGTGCATCTTTTGTCTGGGCTTCACCCGCTGAGCCTTCCGTCGTGCACCCATTCGGGGTCACGACAACGCCTCCTGGCCCGCGATCCCCCGCTTCCCATCCTCACACGCGTCCGTGCGCCTCATGCGTTAGAGCCTGACTTTCAGCCTTAGTGGGGTCCCAACGATACATCATGGACCCGATGTTCGCTCGAACTGCGGCCGCATCTCCGATGATTAGGTTTGTCCATTTGCGGGTGCTGAAGGGACGGTTTGGGTTGTGATGCGAGGCGGAGAGATTGGCGAGAGGGTTGGGGAGTGTGGGGATGAGTATAAGCTTGTTGTTCTTCGGCGCCTGACTTGGTGGCTGTGTGCGGCGCTGATGGTGGTTGTGGCGGTGTGATTATTTGATAGGTTGGGGGGATTGAGAGGAGTAGGGGAGGGGTTGGAGAGCGAAGTTATGGAGAGGAGAGAGGAGTAGGGGGAGGAGTTGGACATCGGTGAAGTTGGAGAGAGTGCGAAGTGGTGATGGCTGGGTTTTTGGGAGAACTACACGGGACTAGTAGTCCCGTGCAATTGGAAAACTGCAAAATCGACCCTTTTTCACTTGAAAATGTTGATTTTGCTGATTTTTTTTAAATAGTCGATTTTTCTTATTAATATTAAAAAACTGTCGTTTTTAGAAATTTGTCCTTATAATTTCTAAGATATCATCCCTTATTGTTTATAGTCTTACATATCATACTCCCTTTAAAGGGAGTATGAGTAAAACTTTCTATGGACAATTTTACCCTTAAACCTTATTTATATTATATATTCTGATCCTAATTAAATTAACTTAAATTAAATTAATAAAATTTACGGGTCATTATTTTGTAGCCTTTACTAGTTTATCTCCACATCTCCTCTTTTGTCATAACTAGTATAATGCACGTGCTTTACACGTGGACATGTTGTTGTATTTAGTATTATATTATTTAATAAATTATATATAACCATTAAAAGTTATTTTATTGCACTATGATTAAAATATTTTAACTTATACTATTATTAGTACTTATACTATTATTAACATACATTTAATAGTTATTTAATTTTTTCTATTATTATGTTATTAAACAATTTATTTAGGAGTATACTTATTAAATAATAATGTAATCATTAGTTTAAGTAACACTATTGATATAATTAAACAATTTAAGTTATTAAATAGTTATGTTATGTGTATATTTTATTGCAATATCTATTAAATAATGGAAACAATTTTTAATATTATATGACTTTTTGTTGTAAAGAATATTAACTTGTTCGATAATTAATATTATCTTAGTAATAAAAAATTGGATGGTACAAATTAAAATTACTATTTTTTAGAAAAAGTACTTCATATAAAAATATTAGATCCTTAAAATATATGAGAAATTTACTTTCCAACAAAAGTGCATGACTCATAAATTTCAAAGATCCAATATTTTAATATAAAATAATTTTCCTAAATTAAAGCATTTTTAAGTCATAATATCCAAATTTTATGACCAAGACGATAATATAATATCGAAAAGGGTAATAATTGTTATAATATAAAAAATTAATCCCAATTTATACTATTATTAATAATTATAATTATGTAAAATATTTTATTAAATAAATAATTTTACTATTTCATTACAATTAATAATTCTTTTATAATAAATTATGATATATTTATTAATTTTATTATCATTATAAATTATTAGTATATTCTAGCGAGTGGCTAAATATTTTGAGAAAAAGAAGAGAAAAGTACATGTTTCATAATTTTCAAGGATCCAAATTTTTTTATATAAATTAATTTTCCAAAATGAAAGTATTTTTAATTTATAAAATCCATATTTTTGTTACTAAGATGATATCAATTATCAAACAAGGTAATATTCTTTACAACATAAAGAAATAACCGCTATTTATACTATTATTATTAATTATAATTATTTGCAATACTTTATTATAAAATAAATGACTTTTACTATTTTATATAATTAATAATTCTTTATAAAAAATTATCATATATTCACGAATTTTGTTATCATTATAAATTATTAATATATTCTAGTGAATGACCAAATAATTTGAGAAAATGAAAAGGTGCATAGTTAATGAGAGGTTACGGATCATTAGTTTTATATAATTAATGGTATAATTTTCACTTATAAAAAATTGAGAGGATGAAAAAGGAAATCAAAAGTTTTGACATGAGTATTCTCTTTTATAAGTAGTATATATAGATAACATCATATATTCACTAAAAATTCAAAATCTCCTCTTCTCTTTCAGCACTCAATTCTTGTTAGCTATTCGAGCAATTATAGACTCGGATTTATGGTGGTCCAACCCAAACCCTCTAACCCTAAACCTAAACCTAACCCTAACCCTAATAACCCTAACCCTAACCATAACCCTAAACCCTAACCCTAACCTAACCCTAACCCTATATAATCCCTAACCCTAAATCCTAACCCTAACCTAACCCTAACCCAAACCCTAACCCTAACCCTAACGCTAAACCTAACCCTAAACCTAACCCTAACCCTAACCCTAACCCAAACCCTAAACCCTAACCCTCAACCCTAACCCTAACCCTAACCCTAACCCTAACCCTAACCCTAACCCTAAACCCTAACCCTAACACTAAACCCTAACCCTAAACCCTAACCCTAACCCTAACCCTAACCCTAACCTAACCCTAACCCTAACCCTAACCCTAAACCCTAACCCTAAACCCTAACCCCAAACCTAACCCTAACCCTAACCCTAACCCTAACCTAACCCTAACCCTAACCCTAAACCCTGACCCTAAACCTAGCACTAACCCTAACCCTAACCCTACCCTAACCCTAAACCCTAAACCTAACCCTAACTCTAACCCTAACCCTAACCTAACCCTAACCCTAAACCTAAACCTAAGACTAACCCTAACCCTAACCTAACCCAAACCCTAACCCTAACCCTAAACCTTAACCCTAACCCTAACCCTAAACCCTAACCCTAACCCTAACCCCTAACCCTAACCCTAACCTAACCCTAACCCTAACACCTAACCCTAACCCTAACCCTAACCCTAACCCTAACCTTAACCTTTTAATTTTGATATCCAAAGTATTTTTTGTGATATTTTGCTACCCTAAATTTTACACATTAGCTTTCATATCCCAATGTTTCCACAATTTTCAAATTTATTACCTCAAAATTTACTCATTTTTTAAATTTGATACTCAAACTTTGGGATATTAAAGTGTCAGAAGTGAAAACTTAGGGTATGAAAGTTAAAGGTATGAACTTTATCGTGTCAAAGTGTAAGGAAAAACTTTAAGATATTAAATTTAAACAATGTGTAAGCTTTGGGGTCCCAAAGTTAAAAAAACTTTGGGGTATT